AACAACAGCAACAAAATAAATAAAATAAAAATATACATTTTCTTTCGGACAAATTTTTTTTTTCAAAAAATTCATTTTTCGGCAACAAATCGGTTTATCAAAATTTGTGTATTTCGGCAAAATAAAATCAAAATTGAATAGCGTGAAATATGCTTTAAATTGTGACTCAACAAAAAAAAGAAAAAACATTGAGTTTGCTTGATTGATATTTGTGTTTAATTGTGCAAAAGGGGACGAAAAAATTTTATCACTGGACTTACCGAGGTTCTGCAAATGTGTTAGATTGCCAGGCTAGTCTTAGGGGAACTCATGTACCCTAGCGGATAACACATGCCGTTAGCTGAGCGCTGTTGCCTCACAACTCAGAGAGGAGCAGATTATTGAAATCAGATTCGCCTATAACAATATACATCTACCTGCCCTTGTTAGTAGTTCAAGTAAGTATAATCGGTGTGGCGGGGGGAACCAATACTATAAGTTCTATCTTAACAAGTGTAAGAAGAGAAGTGGAAAGAAGTGTAAATGGAAGTGAGAAAGGTTTTGCACATATAGGGAACATGCAATGATAGACGATGAAGCGAGCTGAGTGGATGAATAGAGGTTATGATAATGAAGAGAGATATATGAGAAGGAAGAGAGTTTTATTAAAAGGGATAAAAATGATTAAAGGCAATTCGCTTCAACTATATATATAAGTATACATGGTAGGGATCTGAAATAATCCAAGAAGAAGACAATTAGAAATAAGAGTTTTGGAAATATGGGGAATAAGTAATGATGAAGCGAGGTAGGTGGGAATAGAGGTTGAGGTTAAGCAGAGAAGAGTGAGACGGAAGGGAATGTTATCGAAAGGGGGTAACTGAAAAAAAAATTAAAAATAAATAAAGGTGTGAAATAAAACGTAGAATCTAGTTGAGCAAGAATGAAAAGAGAAATGAGAACAAGAAAAATATATATAAAGTATATATTTGATAGAGAATAAATAATGAGAATAGAGATGATGATCAGTGAAGCACGGGTTGAGTAAGAAAAGATGGTTAAAGCTGTGTAATAATAGATGTAGATGAGTGAGATTAGTGGGGAGTGAAAGAATGAGAGAGAGAAGGGAATGCTGTCGAAAGAGTTGACTGAAAACGCAAGAACTACAATTGATTAAACACAATCCTCCTCAACAGCATCAACATTACTGTGTTTGGTTTGCCTGTTTGAAACACTAAATACTTGGTGAGTTCGTAAACCATATCAAGTCAAATAATATATAAATATAAATACAATTATTTGTTTTTGTTTAGAAGTAGACTGTATGCTGAAAGAAGTTTCATTTTACCATAATAATAACTCTATATTAAGTGAGTATATTGTCCAAAAGAGATCAATTCATATATAACATTTTAATATGTGCTTCCCCCAGCTCGACGGTACCACGTCCTCGACTTGGGGTCGCGTAGCTTGCGTCGGTTGTAAATGAACGTGCTGCATATTAATGTATTTACTACTTGATACCAAATAACTGCCTGATACATATAAATAATATAAGAATCAAAATGGATAAATACTGTCATCATTATCTAGAAATATTATTATTTATATGTATATAAATCAAATAATCTGGAACTGCTTGAAGAACGAAGCTGCCTGCTAAATCTATAAAAATACTTGTACGCCCATTACACTCGAACGTTGTCTGCCTGCATTACGTTCCGGTAAGTCAACTCTTTGTAGATATACCTATGTATATAGAAGAAGATTCAAGATTGCCTTCCACAGATCTGAGCGGTACCACGATACTAGCAACACCTTTAGAGAAGTCATAATTGCCTTGCCTGACTTCATCGTGCAGCTCGCGCTCAGTTCTACACATTGGACATTGATGTACTAAGTGCTACCTAAATAAATACCTATAGAATAGGAGAAAAAAAAAACCCTGCATATTTTCGTTTTCAATTCAAAATCTCATTAGCATCAACAGCGAACACCGAACAGCACATGTGGATTAACGTGTAATGTTTCGATAATGTCACATCGCATCAAGCCAATCGAAGTTTTCCATTTAATTAGCTTAATATAATTTAAAGCTTATACGCAATTGCGATGCTGGTCCATAAAGTGCAGAAAGGAGTATTTTGGTTTCTCCCAATATAGAAGTTTGGATGTCCTCGCCTTAAATACATCCTTAAGCAAAACCAGTAAAGCTGATCAAAATGTTGATTTTAGAATTATGCCTATTTATCTCATAGATGCGTCCATAGATAGATCTAAAGGTAGATCCATAGTTTGATACCTACATAGATTTATAGATGGATCCATAGATAAATTCCAATTGAGATTCATATATTCATAGATCCATAGACTGACTCAAAGAGTCATAGATAGATCGACAGATAGATCCATAGACTCATAGTTAAATTCATAGATAAATTCATAGATTCATAGATGAATCTCATGAGATATCCTGAGGCAAATCCATAAATCTCAGATAAATCCATAGATTTATAGATAGATCCATAAATAGATTGAAAAAGATGCATAAATAGATCCCAAAAATTTCATAGTGATTTCTCCTCATCCTCTTGGAGGTGTAACAACAAATCGGCTCAAAATACGTTCAACATGTTTATAGATATAAATGTTTATAATTTGTATTGACACAAAATCTAAAATAAATTTACAAAGTTTAGCGCTTTGACAGAGCATTGCGATAACGACTATACCTCACCTCTAGTTTCTGACTTGTTTAAAACTAATTACATTAATTTATATGATAAAAAACGAAGAAAATTTGCTTGATGAGAATTATAGCAAATTGGTTTATGGCACACGCACACAGAAAGCTTTTCACCACCCGAAAGCTTTTGAAGCTCAGCTTAGCGAAAGCCCAGAACGAGTCGCAGCTAAAGCAGAAGCTTGCAAAAGCTTAATGGTGGAACGGGAAAGAAGACACAAACTTTAGCTAAGTTCTACACCATACAAAAGCTTAAGCAAAGCTTGTAAAGCTTTGAATACTGAAATGGAGTTACATTACACAAGTGGGAGTCGAATCTCAGCAAATTATCTATTCATTAACTAATGACAAATGGAACTGCTATCAAACGGAACTGGAGCTTTGGCTAATCCATGACAACAACAGGAGGCGCTGTGGACCAAGATTAAACTTTTACTAAGAGTGCAGAGCTATGCTAGAGCACATCGAACTGGAGAGATACGGGCACGGGGTTTATCTATGGCCAACTGGTTGGCCCCGTTGGTCGGCAATCTTGGCCCAGTCATTCGGAGAATGTGGAGTAGAGAATCGCATTGATGCGAGCTGCGCATATCGACACGTCGTAATGCAGATAAGTTGAAACCTAACCTTATGGATCAGAGTATAAAACTGAATGAGGCTGCAGCTGACTGTGCAGTAAGAACTGAAATGATGAAACGGGTCCGGTGTAACTTTTGGAGTGCAGTGTTGGGAGCTCAACTCCTAAATCTACTAACTGTGGCGACCGCCACACTTGGAGCAGGAGCAGCATTGCCGGCTCCAATTGACTGGCGCTACAACGATGCTCAGTATGGAAACGCCGAGTACGACAAAATGTTGGGAGAGGGTAACGAACAGCAGCCGGGTAACTTTCACTTTCAGTATGTGGACTACCAGCCCAAGTGCGGCTCCGGCGGACAGCCGGTGTGCGCGACCAATGGCACCAGGTACTTCTACTTTGAAAACGAATGCAAGCTGGAGGCGGCCAATATGAAGCTGCTCTTTCAGTACGGCATAGGTAAGTGATCGAAACAGACGCAGAGCCACCATATGAATCGATGTCTTCACGCAGAGCTGGAGCCCATCGAACTGGAGCGCTGTTTGCCCCAGTGCGACACTGCGCGCTGTACGACAGTTTATGCCCCCGTCTGTGCGGCAGCCAACAACGAGCAGCCTGTGACCTTTGCCAACGAGTGCGAGGCGCACCGACGCGGCTGCCTGACCAAGCAAGGTGAATAGCACAGACATGGCAGTAGGAAGAAAAACCCTTTTCAGCTGCCATATCTCATTCCAGTCATGCATATTCTGAACAAGGGGCCCTGTCGGCAGGGCAGAACCAAATCGAAGTCCTCAGGCAAGAGCAGGCGCAAGCACGGCAAGCGCCGCCACAGGATCAGCTCTACAACAGCAGCGACACCGAATCGGGGCAAGCAGACCTACTATATGTTGGCAAATAAATCGAGCAGCACGTCCACAACAAGCAGCACCACCAGCACCACTACAACCACAACGCCGGTGCCCATGCAGTTCCACCATTTCAGGGACAATGGCGGTGTTTCCGTCTCGCGTGCCATCGATGCCTACAGCGTCTACAATATACCCGATGTGGGCCATAATTATGGCGCCATTACCGACTCGAGTCTGTCGCTTTATGTGCCTGGTGTGGGCACTGTGACGGACACGCCGCCTAGCACCACTACCACTACCACCACTACCACCACCACAACCACAACAACACCCAAACCAACAACTACAACCACTCAGCGAGAGGAAATCAAGTTCTTGTATATGCCCTACGGCACCACCTCCAGCACCACCGCTGCTACTTTTATAGACAGCATTACGGGCACCACTCTACCCGCAGCATCCACCAGCCCCACCCAGGTAAAAGTGGCAGTGGCTCACAATGCAACAAAATTCCAGTCTCTTAGCTCTAGCACTACCCCAAAGCTTGCGCTGGTAAAGCCTCATCCTAAACCAGATGTTGTCAAAGAGTAATCAACAGTGTTAATAAACGACTATAAAAATCTAGAATCGCCTCTAGACTATTTCATTATTACAGAATGGGAGCTACAAAAACATTAGATATACATCTATATTCTCAGCAGACCTACAAATCTTTTACATCCTGAGCCCATGAAAAAGTCGAGCTCAGTGCATATGGGTTGTGTAACAAGCCGAAAACATCATCACCGTTGGTATATTTGTAAAAAAAAATGATTTTTATTAAAGTTTTCGTTATTTTAAGTTTCTTTCTTAATATCTAAAATAGTCAAGTTTTTAGTCTTATGAATCGTTTGGGTTTCGTAAATTGCTTTGGCATCGTAGAGAATCTCATAGTTTGCAGTTAATTCAGTTCTTTTGTATATCAACCTTTTGCGCTGAACTCTTGGAGAGGAACAAAAATATGTATGTCGGGCTTGGATTCGTATTTGTGTTATTGATCTTGATCGTTTGAACGTCATCCTTCTCGGACACTTGTACAATCACTTGGTTAGCAGCCGCATTGTTTGCTGTAGTTTCGTCAACATTTCGTGCTTGCTTGTCATCAACGTTTGCAATCACTAAGTCTTCTGAAGCTGTTGTTGAATCCAGAGTTGCATCGTTGGCATCTTCGGAAACTTGTGGGGAACTATCTACTGGTTCCTGATCAACAGCTGCAGCTCTACTTAAGCTTTGGACTTGTGGTTCTGATGAAGAGTCAGACGTAGAGTCCGCTGAAGCGTCCGGTGTTGAGGTGTCAGTCGGTTCACTAGTTGTTTCCTGAGAGTATGGGTCAGATGTATTTTTATCTTCAGCCGCATATGTCTGATATGTTGTGGAATCTGTTTCTTGTGGGGAACTATCTACTGGTTCCTGATCAACAGCTGCAGCTACACTTAAGCTTTGGACTTGTGGTTCTGATGAAG